AACTATACTAGTCTAAAGCACTCATCTATTGTTTGTTGTATACTGATGAGTAACGTTTCTTTAAGGTGATGCTGAAAGTAAAAATAGACCAATAAACATAACTATACTAGTCTAAAGCACTCATCTATTGTTTGTTGTATACTGATCAGTCACGTTTCTTTAAGGTGATGCTGAAAGTAAAAACAGACCATCAACCACAATTATACTAGTCTAAAGCACTTATCTATTGTTTGTTGTATACTGATGTGTCAAGTTTCTTTAAGGTGATCCTGAAAGTAAACACAGAACATTAACCATAACTATACTAGTCTAAAGCACTCATCTATTGTTTGTTGTCTACTGATGAGTCACGTTTCTTTAAGGTGATGCTGAAAGTAAAAACAGACCATCAACCACAATTATACTAGTCTAAAGCACTTATCTATTGTTTGTTGTATACTGATGTGTCAAGTTTCTTTAAGGTGATCCTGAAAGTAAAAACAGAACATTAACCATAACTATACTAGTCTAAAGCACTCATCTATTGTTTGTTGTCTACTGATGAGTCACGTTTCTTGAAGGTGATGCTGAAAGAAAAAACAGACCATTAACCACAATTATACTAGTCTAAAACACTCATCTATTGTTTGACGTATACTGATGAGTCAAGTTTCTTTAAGGTGATGCTGAAAGTAAAAACAGACCATTAACCATAACTATACTAAACTAAATCACTCATCTATTGTTTGTTGTATACTGATCAGTCACGTTTCTTTAAGGTGATGCTGAAAGTAAAAACAGACTATTAACCATAACTATACTAGTCTGAAGCACTCATCTGTTGTGTCTTCTCTGCTGATGAGTCACGTCTTCTAAATGTGATGCTGAAAGTAAAAACAGACTCTTAACCATAACTATACTAGTCTAAAGCACTCAGATGTATTTTGTTTTATAGTGATAAGTCACGTATCTTTAAGGTGATGCTGAAAGTAAAAACAGACCATCAACCACAATTATACTAGTCTAAAGC